GAAGGGGGATGGGGAAAGGAAAGAAGGGAAAAAAAGGAAAAAATGGAAACAAAGCTTTTGTAAATGAGGAGGAGGTGTTGAAGGAAGGGTAGGGGGATGGGAAAAAATCAAGTTATGTCATGTAAAGGTATAAATTCTCTATGATGATGTGATCATTATGTTATCTAAAATGTCCCAATAATCTCACTGGAAAAGAAATTACCTAAGCAACTATACTTATAATCTTTCTAGGGGGCTGGGGATTTAGCTCAGTGATGCCACACTTGCCTGGCAAGCGTGAGGTCGTGAGTTCGATTTCCGGTACAGAAAAAAAAAAAAAAAACACCTTATTGGTTGATCATCATGTTGACCCACATGGTACCTTCCACGTGATTTTGCTCTATGAAACCTCCTTTGAAAGGTGGGCTCGTTGGCAACCCATTCAGGACCCCTCTTGCCTCTCAGGGGCTATTCCTAGCCCCCATTCCTTTTCTCCAATAAATTTTCTTTTCTTTTTTGGGGGGGTACCAGGAATCGAACTGAGGGCCTTGTGCTTACCAGGCAGGTGCTGTACCACTGAGCTGCATCCTCGGCCCTCTCCAGTAGATCTTCCTACCCTTAACCTCCACTGTTCCTTACGGTTCATTCTTCTTGGGGACACAAACTGGGCATATTTGACATCTAGCATTTTCCCCGTATCAGTACCACTGATCTCGCCATGTGGCCCGTCTTGCCACTTCTAGCACATCCCCAGGAGGGCAGAGACTCACTAGTTTTGTCCACCATCATGTCCCTACACCAGCACGGCGCCTGGCACTTAATAAGTGCTCAGTGATGACAGTGGGTGAAGGTTCCAAATGCTCCTGGGCATCCTGGGTCTCAGGATACCCAGCTGAGGCTGGCTGGAATCAAAGGGTACAAAGGGCCCTGAATACCTCCTAGGCAGGCCCTGCTGGCAAGTACCACTCATTCAGCAAGCACTTACCAAAGCCCTGCAGCTGGGCATGGTGACGCACACCTGTAATCCCAGCACCCAGGAGAGTGAGGCAGGATTGCTGAGAGGTCAAGGGCATCCTGAACTACACAGCAAGACCCTGTGTCAAAAAAACACAAAAGGGGCTGGGGATTTAGCTCAGCGGCACAGCGCCTGCCTGGCAAGCGCAAGGTCGTGAGTTCGATTCCCGGTACCGGAAAAAAAAAATTTAAAAATTAAAAAAACACAAAAGCCATACAGCGTACAGTTCCTCCTTGTGTGCTGAGGACCTAAGATGGAGCAGGAGGGGTCTCTGCTCTTAGACAAGCTGAGAGTCTCGTGGAAGAGTCAGCAGTCTGCTGACTGGACCTTAGAGATCATTTAGTCCCAAATGCACTTTTTTGTTTCATTTTATTTATATTTATTAGAATGTATTTCAGTATGTTTGAAATATATGCAGATTACAATCATTTTGGGGAGTGGGTACCTGTTTATAGTATTTTTTTAAAATGTGGAATGCAAAAAAAAAAAAAATTAAAATAAAATGTGGAATGCTCCAGGAATTTGCGTGTGTGTCAATCCTGTGCAGGGGCCATGCTAACCTCTGTGTCATTCCTATTTTAGTACCCTTGCTGCCAAATTGAGCACCATATTCATAATATTAGAGGCAGCTAAGCTAGGTAGAAATTAATATACAGTCAGAGGGGGAATAGGCTCTGAAGGAAGTCAGTGAAAAATACATCAGAATTGTGGCTGGAAGCCGGGCATAGTGGTGCATGCCTACAATCCCAGCACTCGGGAGGCTGAGGCAGGAGGATCGTTGTGAGGCCCAAATTGAGCTCAAGGCCAGCCTGAATTGCATAGCGAGACCCTGTCTCAAGAAGACCAAAAAAAAAAAAAAAAAAGAATTGTGGCTGGAGGTGCACCTGAGAAAGGCAAAGCCTCAAGCTAAAAGTCACAATGGCCAGACTTACATACTTCCCTAAGGGATAAGCACACATTGAGAGTATACTGTAATTAGTACCACCCAGTCCACAAAGTCCAGATATGCATCAGATACCTGCATCAGGTGGATGACCAGGACATCGAGATCCATCCTTTCCCAAAACTGTTTCTTTTTAGGGGTCCTAGAAAAGGGGATGTTAATGGTACTAACCATAAGAGCTTGCTAAATGCACGCCCTGCTTCCCGGTTGGGTCAATATTAGCTCAGCGGCTCTACTTGTAATCTCAATTGGTTGATTATAGTTTGATGCACATTGTACCCACATTGTAACTTTGTAAATTTCCCGACAAAGGGCATCAGTGACAACCCACTCGGGACCCCTCCTATCTTCCACAAGCTATCTCAAAATACAAATCCTTTTTTAAATTTGGTTTGGTTTTGGTTTTGTTTTGAGACAGGATCTCCCTATGTAGTTCAGTCTGGCCTTGAACTCACTATGTAGCCCAGGCTGGCCTCAAACTCATGGCACTCCTCCTGCCTCAGCCTCCCAAGTACTGGGATTACAGGCATGTGCCACCATGCCCCTGCTCTTTTTTGATTCTTGAGACAGGGTCTTGCTATAGTTAAGGCTAGTCTTAAACTCACTATCTAGCCCAGGCTGGCCTCAAACTCCTACAATCATCTTGCCTCAGCCTCCTGAGTGCTGGGATTACAGGTGTGTGCCACCATGCCCAGCTCTAAATTCTCTCTAAAGACTGAGGAAACAGTTCCAAAGAGCGGAAGTGACTCACCACATAGCTTGGTGATTGTGAGGCTGTTCCAGGTTCCACCAGGCTCCTCTATGCTTTTAAAGAACCAGAGCTGTCTTGTTTGTCCTTGTTTCCCAATACTCTGGAGCAGTGCCCAGCACACTGAAGGAGCTTGAACTAGACAAGGAAGCTATCACAGAGACAAAGAAGGAGGCAGGGGGGCCAGAGGAAGCAGGTGTGGATGAGAGGGTAGGATTATGAGACAGAGGACGTGGCGGTGCGGAGGAAATTGAGGTTGCAAAACCAGATTAGAAAGGCGATTAATCCAAATTTGTTGGCTGGGTATGGGAGAGGGGAAGAATTGAGGACAGGGTCTAAATGTTTGGGTGCTTGGGTGAGTGATGGTGGCATCTCCCCGGGAGATGGGGAAATATACAGCCTACACCAGTGGTGGCAAACCTATCACACGCATGCGGCAGAGGGCTGTTTGTATCACTGAAAGCTTTATTTTTTACTTTTTTGTCTTTCTGAGACAGGGTCTCACTATGCAGTTCAGGCTGGCCTTGAGCTCACTTCGTAGCCCAGGCTGGCCTTGAGCTCACAACAATCCTCCTGCCTCAGCCCCCGAGTGCTGGGGTTACAGGTGTGCACCACCATGCCTGGCTTCAGTGAAAGCTTTAAAAGGTCCCTTATCAAGCCAACTGTGGTGATACACACCTGTAACCCTAGCACGTGGAGGCTGAGGCAGGAGGATCAACCTGGACTACACAGCAAGACCCATCTCAAATAAATAAAAGAACAAATGGTTCACTTTCATTGGCCTATGCCAACAACTGTGCCGAGAACTCATTTAGTCCTTATGACGCTCCTACAAGGAGGGGCTGTTATCCCCATTTTACAGATGAGGTAAGTGAAGCACAAAGATGTTAACATGCCTTGCCCAAACAGCTAGGTCATGGTGAGACATGAATATTACAGTTGAACTCCAAGCTCTCAACTTAATCCATGCACCCTTACCCAGGAGGTTACATCGCCAGCCTCGACCAGTACTAAGTTCGGTTGAGAAGGTGCTGCAGCATAGAGACGTCTGGGTCAGCCACATCCACTCCACTCCGCCTCTCCCCCAGGCTCTCACACAACCTCCAGTGCTCTCCCTGTCACTTCCCGTGCTTCTGCTCCAAACCATCCCCCATCCTGCTTCCAAAAAAGTTGTTTTGTTTTGGGGTGTTTTTTTGGGGGGGACTGGTGCTGAAGATCAAACCAAGTGCTCCTCACACATGCTAGGCGAACACAATGAGCTACATCCTCAGCTGGAAAATGATTTTGTTTGTTCATTTTCTTTTTTTTTTTTTTTTTTTGAGACAAGGTCTCACTATGCAGTTCAGGCTGGCTTTGAGCTCACTTTGTAGCCCAGACTGGTCTCGAACTTGCAAGGATCCTCCTGCCTCAGCCTCCGGAGTGCTGGGATTACAGGGGTGCGCCACCACGCCCGGCTCGTTTGTTCGTTTTCGAGACAGCTCTAACGCCATCTTTGCAAACCGGCTGCCCACCAACTTCCACCGTCCTCCCTTGTGCCCTGGTTTGTTTGCCCGTTCTTCCCTCTGCAATGGACTACCCTCTTGTTCCCCCAGTTTACTGAGGCTTTGGCGCCCTGCATGTCCTGTCCAGATAGTTCTAGGTCAAACACATACGGTGGGGCAGGCGCTCCACTACCGAGCTGTAGCCTCACCTCTCGGTTTTCTTTCTGAAATGTCTGCAACTTTAGATCGTTTCTTTCCGTTTGAGATGGACACTTGTTAGTATGCTCATATGTTTATTTGATTACAGCTCGTCTTCTGGCTAGCCTGTGAAGGTCCTAAAGGCAGGAGAAACCTTACCTGCGCCCTTTTTACTGCTGAATCCACTGCACCAAATCAAGCTTTTCTGGCACATGAACGAGCAATAAGTAGCTGTTACGTGGCATCTAAATCAACATCGAAACGGGGAGGTTGGACACCAAGTTCTCCGCTTAGAGGGGAGACTTCTGGGGCGGAAATAAAAGACTGGGGGGATCCTTTCACTTTAAGTAAAGAGCTCGCCCAAGCAGTGTATTGGCTGAGGACATAACTAATGCAAGATAAGCAATAACGTAGCTCACAGTCATGTCGCAAAGGTGCTACCGGATCTCGTCTGCCTAGTTGTGATCTCATTGAAGTCGATCCGCCCTCAGAGTCCCTAAGACCTACAGTCTTCAAGAGCCCAGGTGACCTCCCGTCCTCCGCCCTCCGAGTTTCCTCCAATAGGTGAGGAGGATGGAAGCTTCGGCTCCGCCTCTTCCTCCTGTGGCACCGCCTCTTCCGCCCACGATGCCCCGCGACAACCGGAAATGGGCGAGCGGGCCGGAAGTTGGGGGGAGTTTCCTTCGAGCTAGGCTTCCTCAACATGGCAGCGCCCTTGTCAGTGGAGGTGGAGTTCGGGTGAGTCTCTGAGCTGGGGCGCCGTGGGCATGGATTGAAGTCCTCGAGCGCGAAGCTCCCTTCCTGCCTTGGGGCCTGACAAGGCCAAATTGTCGAGGCTCGCTGCACCCGCCGTGAGCTCTACCACCCGCCTCGAGTCTGGGATGTTGGGTCTCCCTTGGCGACGAGGCCGTATGTCCGGGAATAGAGGCGCACACACCGACGGGAGGTGCGCTCCGGGTAGGACTCAAAAGACACGGCAGTTAGGAGGCGGCCTCCGCACAATCTTTACCGGTCTCATTTCCAACCAGGCCCATCTGTGTGGCATCTGAGGCCCTAGAACCTGAAACTACCACCCTCCGACCCTTGATTTCTTTATGGGACCCCTTTCTCCCCCCCCAAGAATGGAGGGTTTTAAGCAGACTGGAGCTTCTTTCAGGATAGTCGGGGAACCTGCTGAGTGTTCTGAAGATCATGAGAAATAATCAGAGAAACACAATAGAAAGATCTTTTCAAGCCACTATCTTTTTCCCCCCCAGTAAACACAAGGTTTGTCATGTGGTTTCAAAGCCGAAAGAAAAACTGGAGAATGTAGACAGAAGGCAAAAAAGCAGAGGGCCTAAAAAATGAGCGGTTATTATTTCCAAAATCACAGCGAAACTGGGCCTTGGTGCATGTGCCTGTGCGTGAGGGAAGATAAGTTAAGGTCTATGTGATAAGGGAAGCCTGGGATGAGAATCTAAATCTCCGTCCACATGCCCTTTCTCCCATTGGATGCCCCGTTGCTTTCATGTTTTCTTTTCACTGGGTAGTTCATTCTGCAGTCATTTACTGAGTGCCTACCATGTGCCAGGCGCTGGGCCAGACACAGAGGATACAAAGATGAATAGCACTCTGTGCATACCCTACAGTGTTCAGCAGTTCTGCCCCTTAGAGCGGGGGCAGTCTCGTGAATGATAAATGCATTTTAATTGATGATATTGTCTGACTGCTTGGGTTCAGTTAGAACTGCACTGGTCTGACCTCCTGTTTTGCTTCACTGACCCTAGGCCCAGTTTCACCCTCCCCCAGCCTGGGGATTCTAGGAGGATCCACGCTACCTTGACAGACCTCAGCAGAGTTGGGAGGGAAAAGGTGCAGAGTGCCAGCATTAAGGTTCACCTGTAGCCTGCTTGCCTTTTGCTGTCCCTGAATCACACATGGTGTCTGTTGGCCAGAGGTGTCTTGTGTCTGCCCGATACATGCAGGCAACAGTAAAGAAGTCAGGAGGAAAATATGTTCCTGGCCTTCCAGAGTTTACAGACTGACATGGTTGCCCCATTTCTGGCATCACTCTTGCTTACCCTCAAGAGCAGCGGTGAGCCCCGGCAAGGCAGGACAACATTCCTGCACCTGCCTACCCCTCTCCACCCACATCACAGTGCTGCATGAATGTTACATCTTCGTGGGAAGTGAGAATCCCCAAGATGTGTAAGACCCAGGCCCCTTCTTTCTGTCGGAGCATGCTGTGCATCTGCCTTCTCACTTCCTGCATCTCTTAGCAGCTGTGCTTCACCCTTCTGTCTGAACCCGAGGCTGCCATGTCCTTACTCCCCGAGTGGTCCCGCCTCCACCAGTGGAGTAGTCTGGGATATGTCCTTACTCCTACCTCTGGGCAAACACAGTCGTTTTGGCCTCAGCAGCTCTTCCGTGGGCCTTGCAACACCTTTCTGTCCCTTGTCAGTAACCATCTCCACCATCTTTGTCTTGCCCCCTGAGCTGTTCTTAGAGCATTTCTCAGGAAGCATGGGATTTGTTTTGGATCCGTTTGGTTCAGGCTATAAAGCCCCAGTTGTGATATTACCTTTGTGCCATCCCGTTTCCTCCTCAGCAAGTTGGGGAAGTATTGGCAGAGACAGGGCACACCACTGAAGTCGGAGAAAAGGGGAGAGAAATGGGCATTTTCATTCATTTGGTAAATATTTAGCAATACAGTATTACAGAGGAACACAGAGAGCCTACTGTGTGCCAGGCCCTGTTTTAGGAAGAGCTTGTATTCCAGCAGGTAGAGGGGAAATAAATAAGCAAGTATAGATAGATAATTTATTGAAAAAAGATGAAGATAAAAGAGAAAAAGAGCATGGCTAGGGGTGTGGCTCAGTGATAGAGTTCTTGTGTAGCGTGCACAAGGCCCTGGGTTCCATCTCTAGTAGTACAAAAAAAGGAAGAAAAAGTGAAGGAGTCTGCAGAATGTCTGTACCTGAGGCTGGTATAGGACATGTCCATCAGGATGTCAGGATGTGAGGGTGGAGGCAAGGTGGAGGTATCTTCACTGAGTTTGAATAGCAAATCTAAGATGTAACAGGATTTGGCCTTGAGTCTCTGGGGCCAAAACAAGTTCCTCTTCTGCCTCCCTGAATCACTCCAGAGGCTTGGCAAGTACCTTCCCCCATTCCAGATGTGCTGGCAAATGCCAGCCCCTCCCTTGGGACACTGCCGGGTCTCTCAGCTACACTGGTCCTCCCTTCATCCGCTTCTAAAGGGAAAAACAGGCCCAGCCTCCGAGCCTGGCACCACCAGGTTTGGCCACCCTCAGTTGTTTGCCTGGGTCCCAGTGCCTCCAGTTCCCACCCTTCTTCTCTGACCCCCAACTTCTGAGCCCCTTGCCTGTCACCCTCCCCCCACCCCAGCTGCTGCATGTGCCAACCCCTACCCAGGAGAAAACGAGGCTCTTGGAAGGAGATAAATGCAGGCTCTGTGCGGGCTCGCAGCTGAAATGGCCCTGCGCGCGGCCACAGATGGGCCTCTGCTCCCCCTCCACATTTCTGCATCAACAAAGCGTGACCTTGTTTGGATGACAGTCGCCCCATGTTCCCCCCGTGACAGTGCTTGCCTTGCCTTTGCCTCGCAGTGGGCTGCCTTAGGACGTATCTGTTCTCTGAGATGGGGAAAGGGTCTGGGGTGGGAGACCTCACATCTACCCAAACTCTATTAAGGCCTTCTCAGTTCAGACCCATGTGAAGTCTAGGGTGGGAATCAGGAGACCTAGAGGGAGATGCTATGTGGGACACAGACCTGGCTTCTGGGCTTAGCTCTGAACATGTCTGCTATCCCGACCTTCGCTTGGCCAGGTGCTGGGGCCCAGAAATGAACCAAACTCTGTCCTCAGGGGGCTTTCTGACCTCAGAGGAGTCATGGGTTGTTTTGTTTTGTTTCATTTCTGGCACAGTTACTGGAGCTGAGCGGGAACCAGTTAGATTCAACTCCTAGTGCCGCTACTGCTTGCCTGACCGTGGACAAGGGACTTAATCTCTGGGCTTTGGTTGGCTTCTCTGGTCAAATGGAATTAATGTCGGCCTCCCTCTTTCCCTGAGAAGGCCTGAGCGGGAAAGGAGATGAGGAACATCTAATAAAAGGGCAAGGTGATGTGAACAGTTACTCTTTGTTGAAGCGAAGCCCGGTGGCTCTCTAGGGCTTTCTAGGCCTCCTGAGCTGTTCTGTGCTCACCCAGCCAGCAGCAGGGGGCAGGGATGGGCTTTTCCAACACTGACCTACCAGAGGACACTGCTAGATGCGCAGAGGTCTCCAGAAGCCTTATAGGGGCTTCTTGGCATTTTGTTTCTTTGCTTGGTTGGGTTTTGTGCCTTTTTTTTTTCCTTTTCTTTTCTGAGATGAGGTCTGAGTTGTCCAGGCTAGCTTCAAATTCATGATCTTCCTGCCCTACCTGGGAATGCAGACGTGTGCCACTGTGCTTGGCTACTTCTCAGCATTTTTGCAGATGGAAAGAGCAAGGCTTGAAATTGGACCTGGGATTATATACCTGTAATCCAAGTATGCTGGGAGGCTGGGGCAGGTGGATTGCATATTCAAGCCCAACTTGGGTAATTTAGCAAATTAGTCTCAAAGTATAAAATAAAAAAAGGACTAGGGATAGAGCCCACTGCAAAGGCCCCAGGTTCCATCCTCAGTACCAGCACACACACACACACACACACAAGCTTGTGAAGATCACACATGCCCAGGGTGGAGCCTGGTCCCTCCCTTGGAGCTGGTAGCTCCAAAACCTATGTTCTTTTTTTTTTTTCCCCCAAAACCTGTGTTCTGCAGTTATATCCTAAGCTGTTTCAAGAAAGCAGAGGTATAAAAATGAAAATCGCCAGGCGCAGTGGCGCACATCTGTAATCCCAGCACTCAGCAGGCTGAGGCAGGAGGATCGTTGTGAGTTCGAGACCAGCCTGGGCTACAAAGTGAGCTCAAGGCCAGCCTGAACTGCATAGTGAGACCCTGTCTCAAAAAAGAAGAAAATCTACAAATGTGGCTGTGTAATTATTGACAGTTACGTGCATTCTAGTTTAGCACATCAGGAAATCATGTGACAGAATCAGTCACTGCTACCCACAGTCCTGCACCTTGTTCTCTGCATCTCCCAGGCTTCTGCTGCCAGCCCCACCCTCAGTTCTCAGGCTCAGCTCCCCTCCTGCTTGCAGGAGCTCACCTGCTGTCTTTTCTCTGGCCTTCCTTTGCAGAGGCGGTGCAGAGCTCCTGTTTGACGGAGTAAAGAAACATCAAGTTACTTTGCCTGGGCAGGAGGAGCCCTGTGAGTATTGGCTTTCTAAGCCCATCTGTGGGTCCCATTGGGCAGGAGTGGGTCAGAGGGATCCCTCGCCTCTATTCAAGTGGGAATGACTTAGTCCTTACACAAGGCTTCTAAGATGCCATAGAACTTTAGGCCAGTACTGGATGTGGTGGCCCACAACTGTAATCCCAGCACTCAGAGAGGCTGAGGCAGGAAGACCACCATGATTTTGAGGCCAGCCTGGGCTACCTAGGGAGACCGTGGCTTAAAAAAAAACCTTAGGCCCGTAGCTTCACCTTTCTGAGCTTTAGCATTCTCATCTGTGAAGTGGGAATGGTGACCTATTTGTTAGTGTCTCAAAGGTGGAAGCAAGTTGCACCATTTGTCTCTTGTTTTCAGAATATGGCAGCAGGGGTGGGTGCTCATGAGGGAAGCAATCCTTGCTGAGAATGGAATGGATGAATGGGCCCCCATTTCAATATGAGGATTGATTCTTTTTTTTTTTTTTATAATACATGTTTACAGTACGCAATAGTAATTACATTTGTCTTGGGAAATTGGTATATGTACACAGCATGTCTTGATTCCTTTTTATGTCCCCTTTCCCCTTCCCTGCCTCCAGCTAGAAAGCCTGGAAGAGGGAGTTGACTAAGGGAGACAATGGATTTTTTAAAATTCCTTTATTCAAATACTTGCTAATATTTCTTACACAAATACACACCAAGCACCTCCTGAGTGGCAGACCATGTCCAGTCATTGAAGAGACAGACGTGAGCAGGAGGAGCAGTCCCTGCCTTCCAATGGGAGGCGCTAAAGAGTAACTCTTGTGGGTCCAGCTGGGAACGGTCAGTATAGCCTGGCAGCAAGGGCTGGATGTGGAGACCACTGAGATCTGTCTTTGGGGGCGGGGGCACTGGGGACTGAACCCTGAGCCACACCCACAGCCCACGTTGAGGTCTTTTGCAGGCCTGGCAGTAGATACTAAGAGCAGAGTGCTCGGAGAGCAGGAGCCCAGAGAATGGGGCCGCTGTGGGGGGACAGTAGGAAATGGTCAAGTGAGGTTCGATGGGGTCTTTTGTAATAGACACACAACTGCCAGGAATCAAGTGGTTATGATGGCCCAGGCTCCCCGGCTGCCCGGCCGTCCCAGCCCTCCCCTGGGTGGGGAGACAGCAGCACAGAGTGGGTCTGTCTGCCATGTGCCAGGGCTGGGGGACACTCAGTGAGGACCGGGGCAGTGCTCCCCTTGAGCTGGAAATGGACAGGTGGCTGGCATTAAATGTCAGGATGGTGAGACTGTGTTTTCCTGCTGGGGAATGCCCACAGGTGACGAGATGGTGTTCCTTAGTGTGACAGATGGCCACAGCCTTGGGAGGGAACAGGGTTCGCCTCCATCGCACAGATTCAATCTCAGAGACCTTACCTGGATGTTTATTAAAATATCACAAGTTATGATTTATTCCCCTCAAGTTTGTTTGGCACAAAAGCCCACACAGATTTTCCCAATTCCAGCCCCATCTCACTCATTCCTTGACTGAGTACTCAGCAGATGCCAGGTACATATTTTTTGTGCCAGTCACTGTACTTAGCACTTCAGTGGTAAACAGAACAGGTGTGCAGCTCTTACCCTGGTGGAGTTAACGGTGGGATAGACGTGGAGCCAGGCAGGAAGCAGGGAAACAAATATATGCAAACTGTGTCATTCCAAACTGTAGTGTTAGCACGAGGAAGTCCGACAGGCCCTTAGAGCTGGACTAATGACTGCTCAGGGAGGCCTCCTAAGGAGGTGGCATGGAGGCAATGGATACGGGATGAAAAGCTGCCAGCCTGAGGAGTTACAAAGGGAGAGCACACAGGCAAGGGTCCTCCAGGCAGTGAGGAAGCACTTTTGAAGGCCCTCAGGGGTAAACGGCCTTGGGGCGGACAAAGAACTGAAGGCCAGGGTCATGTGGACCCCAGGCTGAGTTTGGAGTGGGAGGAGGAAACCCAGCTGGCTGTGCAAATCATTGTCACAAACTCCTAAGAAGTAGCTACCAAAGTTATTTCCATTTTAAAAGGTAGAAACCAATGTGGGTATGGTGGCTTCAGCCTGTAATCCCACCACCCTAAAAGGCTGAGGCAGGAGGATCACAAATCCCAACCCAGCCTAGGTAATTTAGCAATTCAGTGAGAGCCTGCCTAAAAATAAAAATTAAAGAAGGGCCAGGGATGTACCTCCATGTGAAGGGCCTGGCTTCAACTAATCCCTAGTACTGTAGGGGAAAAAAAAACAAACAGTATAAACCAGGCTGAGGATGTAGCTCAGCAGCGGAGTGCTTGCTTAGCAAACCTGAGATTCTAGAATCATTCCTCAGCGCCACTAAGTAAATAGCAGAAACCCAAACTCAGATACCAAGGTTCTCACCCCAGGTCATATGGTTATTTAAATGTTAATGCTAACTGAGTGGGCATGGTGGCATATGCCTGTAATCCCAGCACTGGGGAGGCTGAGGCAGGAGGATCATTGCAAGTTCGAGGCCAGCCTGAACTGCATAGAGAGACCATGTCTCAAAAAGATAAAACAACAACAACAATAATAATAATAACAATAACAAATGCTAATGCTGATAATCAGATGCAGATTCAGGATCTCTAAGTCCTGGCACTGTGACCAGCCTGTCGCCATTAGACCCAGGCAGCTCCCTGAATCCCGCTGACATCTCTCACTGTTTGTTTTCCAGTGTTTACCTCCAATTCATTCATTCTTGCCTTCAACAGCTACTCAGTTTGGTTTGTGTAGTGATCCCTATGGATGCTATCTGTCCTTAAGGAAACTAGACCTGAGAGGAAGACAGGAAGAAGGAAGGGACCCGAGACCTGGCCACACCTACCAAGAAGGGACGCTAGTGTGAGGCTCAGGTTTCTCATCCTTTATCCTCTAGCCACTGTGGTGAGGAGGTGGAGGCTGCTCTCCCCTAGCTCCTGGGTGAAGGAAAGGAAACAGGGGAGGGAAGACAGGATCTCTAGCTCACTCTTTGCTGTGGGTCTCTTACCTGTGATTCCCGTTTTTACCTTGGTTTGTCCAGAGGCCTGGGTCACACTGCCGCCAAGTGCTGGTTGGCAGCTGCTAGGTCTTACCCTGGCACGCGGCTGCCCAGTGGGAGCGCAGGCGCTTGGTGCTGCGGGGAGAGTCCCGCTCTCCCCATGCCCAGATCCATCGTGGGGCAGCCTTCTCAGGCCAGGGGCTGCCAGCTGGCCGAGCAGTCTCGGAGGCCCCCGCCAAAACAGCAGCAGCCGCAGACTCCGGATGGTGACAGGTCAGGGGAGAGCCTCCAGTCCAGCCAGCGTGAGCGGAGCGGGCGGGGGAGAGCAGAGAAGGAGGCGCAGGAAAGGAGCCCTGCAGTGTGCAGTGCGCATCGTTGATGCGCAGGCCTCTTGTTTCCCCATCTGTAGAATGGGAGATGGGCTGTTTCTTACTGAGCTCAGTATCTATTGACATCTCCAGTTTGGAAGACTTGCTTCCAGATCTCAGTACTTCCCTTCTGTGAAGTAGGTGTGCAGATCTGGTGAGAGCTTGCGTGTGCGTGTGCGTGTGTGTGTACTTGCGGGGGGGGGGGAGGTCCATGAGCACCATCTTGAAGGAATGGATCATCTCCTTGACTGGCTGGGCTCAGTAGGATCGGCACCAGCCAGCTCTGTCCACTTCCACTGCAGGGAGCCAGCTTTTATCACTCCAGGATCCCCTGACTCCGGGCTCCTGGACCTGACCCCAGGGGAGACTGCTTGCCTCACCTTTCCCTGCCGGCTTCCTACACCCTGGCCTGCGCCCTCCCCTCCCGCTCAGCTCAGCTCAGCTCAGCTCAGCTCACAGTAAAGGGTGGCTGGTGAGGGAGGGGAAGAGACCAGTGGAGCTCCTGGGCGCTTTAAACTGCTTAGCATGCATTTCACAGCCTCCCTGGGGCCAGCTGTTCCTTTCTCTGCTCTGGGCCCTGTTTGCTGATCCCCTCCCCACCGCCCTCCACTCTCCCCACCCCTCCCAGTCCCTGTGCAAAATTGCTTTTGAAAAGATCCACTTTCTGCTTAATTAAACAATGAGGAGCGTCCCCTCACACATCTGTAAACCTCCTTCTGAGGCCAGTTTAGCCCACAAACTGCTCCATTCTTACCCCCATTCACTTGTAAATGGAGCCTTGGAGGTTCCCTCCGCCCGCTCCCCCCATGCTAGAGCTTTCTTCTCGCTTTCAACTGGACTTGGGGTGGGCTCCTAGAGGAGTGCTGACGTGAGCCCGGTGGACGTGGTGCGCATGGAGCCGCTTAACCGACAGAAGAGAAGATTCAAGGACTCAGTGTCGCCCAAATCTGAATGGCTAGTGGGGGTGAGAGGACACATTCGTTGGTGTGCGCCCCGGGGCAGCAACACAGACTTCCGTTGGGAAGGAAAGAGCAGTTAACAGAGCTGCTGGCCAGGAGATGACCTCCTGTCCCCAAGGCAGGCTGGGTGAGGGCCTCCTGCAGCTGGGAGTCAGTGCCGGGGATATCTTGAAGCCGTTCCCTTCCAGCTGCCCGCCTCAGCCAGAAGTCACCGTCCTCAGACAGGAGCAAGTCCACTGGGGTGCGATTCTCGGAGGAGTTCTCCTAGGTGCATTCTAAGAGGAGCGTGCCACATGCCGTGGTAGTGACCTTTAGGACAGGCCTCCTGAAACCCAGAGAACAAGGAATCGGAGTCGCTTGATCACACAACAGCGCCCAGCTGTGAGCTTGTCCTGTGTGTTGGACACTGCTGGCCTGCTGTTGGTACCGAACCTTAGTCCTCACAGCCACCCTGAGGAGTATGGATTATCGCCCCCATTGTCAGAGGACAGGGGGCGCCAAGACAGAGGTAACATGACGTCCTGCTCAAGGCCATCTCACCCACAGTGCAGGTCCTTCCGGCTCCAGGGTGGGAAGTCTTGATCACCTCACCGCAGAGCGGCAGCTGCCGTCCCTTGCTTCCCTCAGGTGGGTGGGCCTGGTCCCGAGGCCCCTCCTGGGGTGCTGTGTGCACAGTTGGCCTGGAAGCACCGAGCAACCACTGTGCCTGACAGGTCTGAACATCTGAAATGCCAGGAGCCTGACAGGTGGGCACGGTGACAAGTACTGGTAGTCCCAGCTTCTCAGGAGACTGAGGCAGGATTGCCTGAGCTCAGAGTTTGGGGCCAGCCTGGACAGTAGAACAAGACAGGTGTCAAAAATGGAGGGGGGGCCACACGCAGGCAGAAGTTTAAGGTCAGCCTGGGAAATGTAGCAAAACCCTGTCTCAAAATAAAAAATAACCCACAGTGAATGTATTATATATTGCAAACATACACTGGTTTAAAAAGAATGGATGGGGCTAGGGATGAAGCTCGATGGTAGAGCAGAAGGCCTGCGTTCAATTCCAGTACTACTAAAAAATGGGGAACGAAGGCCAGCCAGTGCCTGGACCCCTTGCCACTCTGCTGCTGCTCCCATCCCTTTCCAGCGTCTCCTAGGAAGGCGCCGGAGCCCTCAGAAAACCCCAGCCAGCCCAGCGCTGCCTGGTTAGTGAGCACCTCACTCCCAAAGCCGGGTGCCAGGCCGGTGGGCAGAGCACGTGGGACCCCAGGACGTCAGCGAGGGCTGCGGGGACGGGTCTCCCTCCCACGCAGGCGGAGTCAACGAGGCCCAGGCAGGCACAGCGCCAGGAGCTATGCTGTGGGTTGTCTTCCTCCACCCTCAGCAGCCCTGTAAGGCATCCTGAGCGCCCTGTTTTACACAGCCAGGAAGCTGAGCCTCTGGAATTTCCTCTCCCAAGCTCAGGTAGCTAGGAAGTGATGGCGTCCCACTCCAAACTCCGGATCGGTGCTGTGCCCCACTCCTCAGGTGTCCACATGTCCAGCAAGCGTCCTGAGTCCCATAGTGCTAGGCCCTCAGCCCCTGCTCTGGGAATGGGAACAGGACCAGGAGAGCTTCCATATGAGCCACAGCTTGCTTCACATATCCTGGGCCCAGGGCCTGTGGAGCAGACCTTTGGTCTGGGGTTCCTGGAGGGAGCAGCCTCGCCCAGAGTAGGCCCCTCACGCTGAGCCGTTTGCCTTCTCTGTTCTGCCCTCCTGAACCTGCCAGTTTTGGCCTGCCTTAGGTCTTCCTGCAATGCCTCCCCCACATGTCCTTCAGGCCTGAGCTTCAGTGTTAAACACCCTTGGAAAGGTCTTTTCTGATCTGAGACAAAGGCAGTTGATTTGGCCTGGCATGGTGGCGCATGCCTGTAATCCCAGCACTCGAGAGGCTGAGGCAGGAGGATCTTGCGAGTTTGAGACCAGCCTGGGCTATAAAGTGAGCTTAAGGCCAGCTTGAACTGCATAGTGAGACCCTGTCTCAAAAGCCAAAAAAAAAGGCAGTCGATTTATCACAGTTAGTTAAGTAATGTCTCCCTCCCCTGCTGGCCTCTTAGCTTCATGAGAGTAGGCTCTGCGCCCGTCTCGCTCACTGCCATCTCCCTTGCGCTTGGCACATAGTAGTTGCTCAGTAAGTGTATGTCTTGTGAGTGATTCCATGTGATCCCAGGGGGCAGACAGCCCTCAGTAGGAGTGGGAAGGCAGGAGGACACAGAGTGGGAAGGTGGAAGTGAGACGCACACACCACCCCCCCGAGCCCCCATCTATCCCAGAGCCATCCCCAAGCCACCAGCCCCTGACTCTGCTTAACCCTTCCTCCTCCCCTGGGCCCCTTTGGAAGCCGACCATCTGGCTTGGAGCCTATTTGCATATTGTCTGGGCCTCAACAAGCTGAGCAAGATGTCCCAGGGGATGCGTTTCAGGCCAGGCCAAGTGGCCCTTGCAGCCTGCGAAGGGAGCCATGAGTTCCACCTCTCCCCACCCCCAAATCCAGGCATGGGGGAACAATACGGGTGGTGATGCGGTAGCCTCACCATGGTAACAGGCTATCAAAAATGTGTGCAGGCCCAGGGTGGGCGCAGGCAGAGGAGGGAGGGAGTGACCTCAGCAAACAGGAGCATCATGATAAATGAGCCAGCACTAGGACTCATCCCCCGGCCCACCCCCCTGGGACTGCACGACGGTGCCATCACGTGAATGACCCTACCGTGACCACTGGCCCTCCCCCAGCCCAGAGCCTACTCAGATGCAGCAAGGTGCCCTTCTTTTGGAGGATCAGGGCTGCTCCCCAGCTGAGTCCTGGCTCCGCGGTAGAGGGCATCCAGGTCTGCAGAGGTAACAACCCGTGGTCCACAAGCCAGGCACTGCCCAGTCCCTCTCACGCCTCCTCACACGCAAGCGCAGCCCCGCCCGCCAGGGCTGGCGGTGGATGTGTCAGGCCCCGGCGGCTCTATCGAGCGGCCACAAGATGTATGGGCTGGCGGCCCACCAGACAGTGCCAAGATGGAGGCCAAGGGGATTCAGGGCCGAGGGGAAGCCTCTGGACTCTCAACAGGAGGGAGCCCGCCACAAAGCCAAGTCAACCACGGCTAGCTGGAGGCAGGCTCTCCCGCCCGCCCGTGCCAGGGACTGGGGGATGCCAGTCGCTTTGTTTAGAGCGAGGACTTAAAATTGGAAGGCAGCAGTCTCGGTTGTAGATGCTTTGCCCATGGCCCGTGCGCTGCTGGCATCAGATCCAAGGGTGTTGGCACTGAGCAAAGAGGACCAGTCCGTCCAGACAGCATCCCTGCTGCCGGGGTGGCATGCAGGGCGGGAGAGCGCCTTCAGCCCTGCCCACCACGGAGGCTGAGCCTGTGCCATGTTCATGCTGTGGGCCCACCCTGCCCCTGGCCCTCACACCAGGACCCTCAGCCTAGTCTGGACGGCCCGGCCCCAGCTCAGCCCCTGAGCTTTGTCTCCGGGCATGTGCCAGGTTCAGAGCCTCTGAGACACTGACTTGGGACAGGCACTGGTTAGGCCCGAGTTACCCACTGGCTTCCCAGAGGCCAGGTCACTTAGGTCACTTTTATGAGCAAGACCCCTGGCAGCCTCGGGAGAACCATGCTGCAGAGGTAGGGAGCCCAGTTACCAAAGAGTGTGTAGGGCCGGATTGCAGGATGCTTGTCCCTGGTCCTAGGAGAGGAGAGGTGACCTTGGGACAAAGGGACCGGTGGCTGTCCCAGAACACCACTCCCCACAGGAGGCACGTCTTGGTGTTCACTGAGCAGGAGAGGCCTTTTGACCCTGAACCTCTCGCTCTTGAAGGTGGCCGTCAGCCTGCGGAGCTGTGGGGAGGGGGAGCCATGGAGCAGTGATTTGTCAGCATCCCTGGCTGGTGAAGGATCCTTCTCTCCCTCGGCTAGAGGAAATTAACTGATGCTATCAGCTCAGTGATTGTTTTTCTCCCCTCACAAAAGGAAATATATGCAGACCCCTCCGAGAGCAGAGCCGGATCCCCCCATCGGGGACTGGCTGGAGAGATAAAGGTGGAAGGGGCTCTTCAGGCCCTCGGAAGCCTGCTGGACAGTCTCCAGCCAGTTCCCAGCCCTCGCGGGGAGGGCTCTGTGCCTCGGCTCTTGGATGTGAGCTTCTCCCACTGTCCGCCTCTAGTCCTTCCTGTAGCTAAAGGCCGGTGCTTCTGGAAGCCCGTAATGGAGCTGGAGGCCACTTTCTCTGAAGACACTCACTCGTTCCCCATCTTAGGAACCCACGCATTCATGAGCATCACAGCCTGATCTAAGAGGTCCTGGGAGCCCCGCGTGTACTTCCTCCTGGGCCAGGCAGGGCTTTGGGGGCTAGGAACCCTGTAGTTTGACATTAGTTTGTTCTGTGCCTTCCTCTCCAGGGGACATCCGGAACCTCCTTGTCTGGATCAAGAAGAATTTGCTAAAAGAGCGGCCAGAACTGTTCATCCAGGGAGACAGCGTGTGAGTCCCCTACCTCCTCCCCTGAAGAGTGCAGAGGGAGGGCAAGATGCCGGAGCGCGGACCCTGAGTTCAGTCTCAGCCTCCTCTGTCCCCACCTCCCCTTTGTTCACTCTGCCTCCTCTGAGGAGGGCGCTTCCAGCCAGCTCTGTCATGTTCGCAGTTTTCTCATCACCACACGGGCTCTTGGGCATTTGTTAAAAGCCCAGATGAGAGTATCCTGGTGAATTTCTCCAAAATTAATGGCCTTCTGGTTGCCACATATTTGCTGTGGAACCTTAGGTGGGTCGTTTTGCTTCTCTGGGCTTCAGTGACCCCTACACACGGAAATGACGAAGGAGATGCTGCCCACTGTGCCCGTTGCCCCAGTGTCGGACAGCGCTCTCCCGTAAACTTCCTGTAGGGATGGAAACGTTTGGTACTTGTGCTGGCCAGTCTGGGAGCTGCTGCCACAGCTATGAAGCCCTTGCAGTGTGGCTGGGGTGACTAAGAAACTGTAACCCAGCTCGCCATGGTAGCACAGGCCTATAATCCCAGCACTTGGTAGGCTGAAGCAGGAGGATCACCACAAGTTTGAGGCCTCCATTGGCTACATAGCAAGTTCAAGGCCAGGCTGTACTACATAGTGAGACCGTGTCTCAGAAGAACAAAGAAACTGTAATCATCCTGTTTTATTTCACTGTAGTTTGAAGGGCCGCAGGTGGCCAGGCGCCACTCTGTGGGACAGCACAGGGGTAGGGTTCCGGGAGATCGCTGACTGTAGGCACGGGCGCACTCAGGCACACACTCACACATAGGCTTCCCAGTCTGTCGTAACCCTGGCTCCTAGCAAACGACAGGGTTCCGTGTAGCGGGAAGTCGCCGAACTTCTATAACAGAGATAACCTCCTGCAGCAGGGAGGTCGGCAGCACAGTTGAGAAGCTCCTTCATCTGCCTCGAAGCGTAGGTCACCAGCAGGCCCTCGGGCCAGAGCTCCCCACAAGTCCTGCTTCAGACCCTGCTGCCGCAGTCCTGGAGGCCACTTGCCAGGACAGCAGCGCTGCTTGGGCTGCTGCCAGCAAGAGCCAGGCTAAACTGCCTGTCCAAATGTGGACCTCTCCCGCCTTCTGCAGGCAGGAAGGCTCTTGAACATTCAGATGCTCAGTGCCACAAGCACTGTCCCTGACCCAGAAGAGCCAAGGTGCCCCCTCTCCAGGGTGAGTATGCATGAGGCTTTGAAGCCAAGTTCCTCCTTTCCAGGACCTGAGATGTTAAAAGTGGCTTCTCCTGCTGGGTGTGCTGAGAAGCGGTATGCCAGGCCCCGCACTCCTCTCATCCAAGCCTTGAACAGACCTTGCAGGCAGGCAGCGCAGTTTGCCCCCTTTCCGGGTGAGAAAACTAATGCTCAGAGAAGCAAACGACTTACCTGAAGTCTGGCTGGTGGTGCTGGCATTTGTGCCCGTGTTCCACCTGGCCCAAAGGTCACAGCTGTCTGCAGACCACCTTTGACCAGACCCCGGCAGGAAGTGCTCCCTCCACTCGCTCCCATGGCCCAAGACTCTGCACCTCCTGCCTTGGCTTCTGCTCCCCACCACTCACCACCATCTTCCCCACAGGCGGCCAGGAATTCTGGTGCTGATTAACGATGCCGACTGGGAACTGCTGGTCAGTACCTGGGGACTCCCCTCCCGGGCCCAGACTGCAATGCTTCAGTGGGAGAGTCTGGGGCCCCTCATCAGGCCAAGAGAGGGTGACTTGACAGTTCTTGTCCCACTGCCGCAGCCACACCGAGGCTGTGTGAGCCCCCCACCCCAGTGAGGGGGGAGGGGCAGCCGGAGGTTTGCCTGCTGATGTGTACAGTGCCCGGATTGTGGGGAGGTCAGCCTTTCCCTCCCCTGGCAGCGCCTGGGGAGAAACCTGGGCAGTGCCCTGAAGGCCTCTCTCTCCTGCCCAGGGGGAGCTGGACTACCAGCTGCAGGACCAGGACAGCGTCCTCTTCATCTCTACACTGCACGGTGGCTGAGGGCCCCTCCGCCTGGGCCTTTTGCAAGGGGAGATCAGAACAGTCAGACAGCCCCTTGGGCTCTGCTTGCAGGCCTCCCTGTCCCCCTTGGCTGCCTTCTTCCCTGCTCTGTCCCTTGAGCTCCCTCCAGGCAGAGAAAGGAGGCCAGGTGCTAAAAATGGGCCTTTCTCAGCCAGCACGTGAGCAGGGGAAAGCGGGCAGTGGCTGGGGCCCCCTCTGGTGTATCAGGAGTGGAGGGGGCTCTGCGGCCAGGTGACCCCGCTGCCTCCGCTCCCCGTGTCTCGGTCTGTACGCTGAGTGACTGCCAGCAAGGCGCTGCAGCTCCAGGGCCATCTTGCGGGGAGGACGGGTGGGCCTGGAGAGCTGAAGGCCGGCCCTGCCTTCCAGATCGAGGGCTCTGCGCCTCAGTTTCCCCATCTGGACAGTAGGGAGCTGTGCCTGTCCCCCACTGATACCATTATGGAGCCCCAGCTGGGGTCCCCTATTCAGTGCTGACCCCCTTCCCCCAACCCAGCAGCTGCTCTCCCAGCCACACCCCTCCTCCCCCTGCTCCCCAGCCCTTGACCCTGGCTGGCCCCCCCACAGGCCACCAGATGGGCTCCCGGGAGCCTCCCCAGTCTTTGTACAGCCCGTTCTGCTGGAGGCGGTAGGGAGGAAGGCCCTAGCCTTGGACTGGCCAGCAGAGGCCTGGCCCAGGGGTCAGTGTCCCTCAGTTGCTTCCCCTGCACCGAGTATAGTGTCTGAAACTTGGGGAGATGCTTGGTGGCACAAGTCTGGCTCACAGGCAGAGTGGGGGGCGGGCAGCACCTGGTAGGCAGAGCGGCCTACCCCTCCTCCCTCCTGGAAGCCTTCTGGAAGTCTGGGGGCCTGGTTGCCTGCAACAGCTGGTCTTGGGCAAATAAAAGGCTAGGTTGTTCACCAGCCTTGCTGAGGGCTGCATCCTTAGAGACAGGTGGTGCCCATCTCTCCCCTGCCACGGCCTCTGGGATGACCTTCCTGTCCTGTGCCTAGGGCCCTCAGCTGCCCTTTACCCAAAAGGCTGAAACTCAGACTGCCCTGAGGGGTGGTCCTGTAGGGGTGTCTGGAGAAGGAGGTGCAGAGCCAGTCTGTACTGACCACTCTGGGTCCCAGGACACAACCCAGCCAGGCTTTGTCCCATCACCTGCAGCCAGAGCCCCGTCCCCACGCTGGGATTGGCATAAAAGAACCTGCTGAACCCCCTTTCCTTCCATAACCTGGAGAAAAGAGCTTTGTCTGCCGGAGGGAGACCTTAAAAAAGAATTGGGGCACCAACATCATCCTGCCAAATCTTAGAATGTTGCTTTTCATTAAATGTCAATAATTTAAGGTGGAAATTTCTCATCCTGTGGAGATGAAAGTGCCAGATGTCCCAGATGTATTGGGAGGTGCACATCATTCTCTAGGGGACAGGTGGCCGGGCCGGTGGGCTTCTCCAGCCCACTGCAGTGCAGGCCTCCCATGAGTGGTGGGAGTAGCCATGTTGGGGTTACGGTAGGGGCTGGGCTGGGTGCTCTCCACAGAGCCTGGCTGACCAGCCCTCTCTAGGTGCTGAGATCAGGGTGTCCCTAACAGAGAACAGAGTGGGGGATCTAAGATGGCCCAGCAACCTCACTTTGGAGGGTCAGCCTGGCCCAATTCCTGCAGCCTAGCGGTCCCTGCGTTCCTCCAGCTCCCGAGCTGCAGGACTGGCCCAAAGTCGCACACGGTATTCCAGGTCCGGGAAGCTGGGTGCTAGGGTTCCTCTCCGTGCCTGAGGAGGACTGGGGTTGAGAGATGGAGGGTTCCCTGCCCCCGTCGCACCCTAGTTAATGCTGAGCAGCAGAGCTGAGAAGGGCGGTGGGGAAGGCTGGGCTGTCTCCCACGGCAGGGTGCTGGCCCCACAGTGGGGACTGGCAGGGCCAAGACGCTCCGGACCACAGCAGGTTACCCTCAGCCCCGAGCCCCCGCCCCACGCCTGGGTGGCGACAGGTGACCCGGGTTCACCAGCAGCAGCTCCCCACAGTCCCCTCCCAAGCAACTCCTGACCCCTGCTTTTGAGGAAATAAACAAATAAATAAATCCCACTATCTCCGAAGATTTTTCTTTAATGGAAAGGATTCGTTTGTCCAAGTTCTGCTTCCAGAGCTTCGGTGGTCGCCCAGCTGGAGCGCATCATTCCCAAGCTTCTCCGTCCCCAGCAGTGGTTGGAGGAAGCTCAGCCCATCCTTCCGTGCAGAGGGGCTTGTGGGAGGGGTTGGTCGGTTTGGGACTTAGGGGCTGATTTAGGATTTTTTTTGGTTTGGGGGTGACTGGTCAGGGGGTAGGTTAGAACAGATTCGAAGCGAGTTAGCAAGCGCATTCAGCTGGCATCTGCCTTCACCCCGACTTCCCGCAGCTCTGGCCGAGGGCGGGCTTCTCGGACCACATTCGGGTCGGCAGCTGCGTGCCAGCCTCATTCCGGCCGAAATTGGAAAGGGGGAAAACCGACGCGATCTGGAAGACTCCGCCATCCGGGACAGGTCACCCGCAGAGGAGGATCAGAAGGAGGGAGGATGAGGATGGCGGCGCTGGTGGCAGGGAGCGGCTTCCCTCCTTTGCGCGCGACTGGGGCTGCGATCCTCGCGCTGGGGCCAGCCAGCCGCCTGCCCGGAGCTCGGTCCCCGCGGCCCTGGCCCCTGTTGCGCCCGGGGCTCAACCACAGATGTCCAGCCACAATTCTCGGTTGGCCGCAGACTCGTACAAGAATTGCGTTTGGACAATCAGTGGCGAAGCCCCCGAGTTCAGGGCCCCGGGCTCCTGCAGCCTGCGCTTCGCTCCTTAAACGCGCCGGATCTGGAGATCCGCGGAGCTGCGCGTCGGAACACCTCGCCAGTGCCGGGCGCTCGTGGCCCATCCCGCGGTAAGGTGGAGGGACCGGCAGGCACACAATCCCGACCCAGCGCGGGGATCCCTGTCACCCCCGGCATGTCGCCTTCGATCGCGGCCCGGGGTCCCTAGAGTGGCCCGCGTTAGGTCTCCGCACTGCCCCAGCTCGGGGGAATCTCCTCTCTCAGGCCCGGGGAACCCCGACTTCCCTCTCCCCGCCCCCAGCCAGGGTTTGCCGGGAGTCCAGATAGCTGGGGACCCAGGCCGGGTGGCGTTTCGAGCCGGGTCCGGTCTCCCGCCCCCGCCCAGCCCCGCGCACGCACCGACTCGGGCGCTCTCCGCTTCCCTGTAGCTGAGTCGCCGGCGGTGGCCCCGGCGGCGGGGAGCGCTGGAATGCGCCGCCGGGTCACCTGCAGCGCCCGGGGAGCCGGACTGGGAGCCGGCATGCTGGCGAGGCGCAGGGCTGAACCCGAACGGGCGCCTCTGGCGGCTCGGGGCCGGGGCGGGCTTTTAGTGGGCCGCTCCAACAATACGGGCCTGGCGCGGAGAAAGGGGCTCGGCTGCAATTGGTACTGGATTTGAATAACGCCACGGGGCCATCAATGGTCATTGTGTCGGCGGGTAATGAATCTCTGCTGTCTCTCGGGCTGGCCAGGCAGCTGCAACCTGCGCTCAGGCAGCTCTTAAAGACATAGCGTGCCCCTCCCTGGGGGCCGCCCCCCCTGCACCGGCTGGACCCCTCGCCCTCCACCCCCATTCGGCTCCCTCCGGTCTGGCGCCCTGCCTGCTCCCTCAGCCTGACCCCTGCGCCCATTTCCCCTCCCTCCTGGGCCAGGCACCCGCATCTCGGCCCTTCACTCTGTGGCCCTGATGCAGGCCCCTGGCCTTGGCCGAGCTCCCCGAGAGTGTCCAGAGCGAGTCTTCATCGCACCTGCATCTAAACCTGTGGCCTCTGGAACCCTTCTTCCTGAAGCTCCTGCCCAGAGTCCTGTAGGGAGGGCGAGGGGGAACAGTCCCGAGGTCAGAGCATCACCCCTTAGAAACCTATACTGAATGGTGGAGGAGGAGGGGTGCAGTCCCAACCCCAAGACCGAACATGCGATCTCCAGGGACCAGGGACCGCACCCGCGCTGGGGATCTGGGGGCTGCGCCCTCCCTCACGGAGGACAAGGGCTTGATTCCCAGGCCCCTGCGGTCTTGCCCGGAGACCCTGGCTCTAGCAGCAGGGGTGGGGAGCAGGTGGGTGTGAGGGGCGTGGAATCTTGTACGGCTGGCTGTCTCTTCCTCTCCTCTGGCACTGGACAGCCCACCATCCAGGAGCGCAGGGGCTCCAGAAAAGGTCTGCTGCGCCCCCACCCCCACCCCACCCCCACCCGGACCCAGCCAGATCTGGCCCAGAGAAGGATCTCCGCCGCGGACCCATTTTCAGCCTGTCATCCTCTAGGAAGGAAGTGTGTGGCTGTTCTACATGCCGCCTTTCATGTACCCCAGGCCTCCCCCACGCAACCGTGCCTCTGCCCTTGCTCAACCTGGACTGCTATCCAGTCCTCCCAGACTCTGGCAGCCCTGCCATGTGCCCGGATGAATTGCGATTATCTTTTCTCTTGATTCTTCTCACCGGGAGAGGAAGTGGGTGCTCTGATCTTTGTGCCTCCAGGGCTTAGTACGGTGCGTTCCCCCAGCCAATCCCCACAAGTCTGGGGTGTTTACTTGCTTGCCCCATGGCTTGAAAATGAACCACATACACTTGGAGTTTCTTACAGTAGGTGACAAAATACAGCTTTGGGGCTTTGTAGAGAAGGAGCCCAACTAACCAATTCCTGGGAACGCTCCACTTGACAACAATAACTAAGAGTGTCTTAGGTGCCACAGGCTAAGAGCTTTAAAGGTAGTAGCTCCGCCTGGCGTGGTGATGCACGCTTGTCATCCCAGAACTCTGGGAAGCTGAGGCAGGAGGATTGCAAGTTAGAGCCCAGCCTTAGCAATTTAGTGACTTACCAATAACACAGTCTCAAAATTTTAAAAAAAAATAATAAAAAATAAAAGGCTGGGGATATCATTCAGTGTAAAGGGCTTGGATTCAATCCCCAATACTCAAAAAAAAAAAGTAATTTGCTAGGTGCTGTGGCATGTTACCCAAGGGCTGAGACAGGAGAATCCTACGAGCCCAGGAGTTTGAGGACTGTGAGATCCTGTCTCAGAAAATAAATGAATAAAATAAAGATAGTAGTCGCTCATTGACTCCTCACAACTACTTTGGGAAGTAGGTACTATTATCAGCCCCATTTTAGAGATGAAGACACTGAGATTAGTGGAAAGTCCCCTGCTGGCCGATGATGAGCCAGAGCTGGAGGCTTTCAAACTCAGCACACACTGTGGCTTTCCATGCTGTCCTTAGCGGATACAGAAGAGGTAGACATAAATACACTTAAAATGGTGAGTCCTGTGGGGCGTAGTGGCATACCCCCATCATCTCAGCACTTGGGAGGCTGAGGCAGGAGGATCCCTGAGTTCGAGACCAGCCTAGTGAGTTCAAGACCAGTCTGAACTACATATCAAGACCCTGTTCAAACAACACCAACAACAACAACAACAAAAAAAAACAGTTGATCCCAGGAGACACCTTGTGTACCTATAAATAATAATCTGTTCCCAACCCCCTACCTCTACCTGTGTGAACGTGGTCAAGATAAAGCAGGAAAGGGCCACCTCTGTGGGAGTGGGGGATGCCAGGCGGGTCCAGCTGGGTCCTGGGAAGAAGGCTTTTCTCCCTGCTTTGGGGGATGCTGAGGGAATCAAACCCAGGGCCTCGAGCATGCTAGGCAAGGGCAGTGCCATCAAGCTGTACCCCAGCCCCTTGTCAGCGCTATTTAAAGCCTAGCAGACCCCAGCACAGTGACACCTACAATCCTAGCTATTTGGGAGGGTGAGGCAGGTGGATCGCAAGTCCAAGGTCAGCCTGGGTAATTCAGGCAGACCCTTTAAACCAGGCAGGGTGGTGCCCACCTGTCATTCTAGCACTGTGGGAGCCAGAGACAGGAGGATTGCAAGTTCAAACCCAGTCTGGGCAATTAAGCAATTTAATGAGACCCTGTCTCAAATTTTTAAAAGACAGGATAGCTCAGTGGTAGGGCTCTTGCCTCGCATGCACGAGCCCCGGGGTTCAATTCCCAGGATCAGGGAAAAAAAGAAACGGCCTAGGGGCTGGGGATTTAGCTCAGCGGCACAGCACCTGCCTGGCAAGCGCAAGGTCGTGAATTCGATTCCCGGTACTGGAAAAAAAAAAAAAAAAGGTCTGAGTTCTGGGTAGAGAACAGCAGGGTGCCTCACCCTCAAGGAATGAGGAAGCAAGGAGGTCCTACCTCTAGTCATGGAGCGTTATGGGACGCCCACTGTGTGCTAGTCAGGGCCTCAGTGCAGACAGCCGTCGCCAGAGGAGGTGGATCACGGAGGACCGGGCGCCCCAAAGACCGGGGAGGGAGCCAGAGGCGGTCGCTGTGCGTCTCTCATCCAAAGCTGGAGAGCGAAATAGAGCAGGGTGAGTAAGAGGAGAGGGATTTGGTGTGGTCGGAGCCCCAGGGGAAGAGGAAGTTTCCAAGAGAGCTGGGGTCGACCCTGTCCGGGCCGTGGGACCCTGGGAGGATGTGTGATTGTACCCTAAACGCTGTGGGGATCCTGAAAGGTCTGACAAGTGCAGATTTACATTTTCAAAGGTTTGCTGGGGCCCAAGTGTGGCGCGCGCTGAGGAGGAGGGGTCGGAGGAGCTGTCGGGACCAGTCGGGCTCCTGCTGCTCGGCAGGTGAGAGCCCTGGCAGTGTGTTCCCGGCCGTCCGGGCGACCTGCACCGAGCCGCACTTAGTGACCTGCCGTGTCCCCTGGTGACGGGAAAGCTACCAGCGTAACCCGAGTGACGCTGCCCCTGCAGAAGAAGCCAGCTGATGGGCGGACAGACACACAGATGCCCAGCCAGCCCCACGGAAAGGAGCAGAGCCACAGGGAAACCCTGCAGAGGAATTGGCCACGTTCTGCACCCCAAGGAGAGCTCGGGAAACCTCTGGAGGAGGCTTCCAGGGCGAGTGAGTTCTGACAGGCTGAGCCTCAGTTATGACTTTTATTTTTTTCTTTCTTCCTTTCTTATTTTTTTTTTTTTTTTCTCGTGAGATAGCGTTTCACTACATAGCCCAGGCTGGCCTCAAATTGCCAGTGACCCTCCCTCCTGGCACGCCCTCCCAAGTGCTGGGATCACAGGTGTGTATCACCACGCCTGGCTGGCCTTTGTTTTTTTATTGCTGTTGCTTATTTTTGGTTTTAGAGACAAGGTCTTGCTATGTAATTCAGGCTGGTCTTGAACTCACTATGTAGCCCAGGCTGGTCTTGAATTCATGGTGATCCTCCTGCCTCAGCCTCCTGAGTACTGAAATTAAAGGCCTGCACCACCATACCGGCAGTTATGGCTTCTGTAAAATTGGTTCCTTCTTCGTGTCCACTGCATCTGTCCTGCCCCCTCTACCCTAGGTGGTTGTGGTGCTTGGAGGGGAGAATCCAAACATACTTGCCATTTACTTGCAGTAAGGCGGTTGTTATCATGATCTCGTAACTCACACACACAGGCGCTGTTGGGCTCCCGTGAACCCTTAGCTCCACTAGAGAAAACTGACTCCCTTATAAAGAAGACTCCTGTCAAGAAGACGGACAGAGACCCCACACTCTCCATCAGCATGGTCCTCCTTCCACCGAGGCGGGCACTTCACCAAGAGTTGGCTACACAGCGTGCTCAGCACACAGGGCATCAGTGACAGACGCATGCGCCCATGAATGTTCCATGGACAGCAACGAAAGGAATGCATGGATGGACAGACAGAAAGATGATGAAGGCCTGGGGATGTGGCTCAGCGGCACAAGCGCCTGCCTGGCAAGCTCAAGGTCCTGAGTTCAATTCCTGGTACCATAAAACAAAACAAAACAAAAAAGATGATGAAAAAGCAAGCTGGGCGTGGTGGCGCACGCCTGTACTCTCAGTACTCGGAGGCTGAGGCAGGAGGATTGTTGCGAGTTTGAGGCCAACCTGGGCTACAAAGTGAGCTCAAGGCCAGCCTGAACTGCATAGCGAGACCCTGTCTCAAAAAGACAAAAATAAATAAGTAAATAAAGAAAGATGAGAAAGCAGACTTCAGGACCATGGGGTAAACAATGACTAAGAATGGACAAAAAAGGAGCTGAGGATGTAGCTCAGCGGTAGAGCACTTGGCTAGCATATGTGAGGCCATGGTTTGCACCCCAGCACCCCCCATATACACAGAATAATAAAAGTGTGGGAAAACTGTGCATGGTGATGCATACCTGTAATCCCAGCACTAAGGGAAGCTGAGGCAGGAGGCTCACAACTTAATGAGACCCTGTCTCAAAATAAAAAATAAAAATGGCTGTTGATGTAGCTCAGTATGAAGACTTTAGGTCCAGTCGCCGGTATCACAAAAAGAAGAAAACAAACTGGACAGTGGGCACATGGATCTCTTTCTTCCTTCCTTCCTTTCTTTCTTTCCTTCTTTCCTTCTTTCTTTTGTCTTTTTGAGACACAGTCTCACTATGTAGTTCAGGCTGGCCTCAAACAACGGCAACCCTCCTGCCTCAGCCTCCCACATGCTGGGATTACAATTATGTGCCACCATGCTAGGCTAGGCACAAGAATTTTGTAGCCAATCAGCTGAGGCTCTAGGTGTAGAACTGGAGGCACTGCTGGGGATGTGGTGGCTGAAGGAGCTGGAGGGATTTTCTGTCGTCCCAAGGCCTCCACTCTGCTTTGAAGGCAGGTCCAGGACCCAGAGCCTGACCGAAAGGTGCTCGGGGTGGCCACAGGCTGCTCAGGCCCCGCTGCCTGTGCTGGGTATTTCCAGCCCTAGAGTTCTGCCCAGAGTGTTCCCGTCTACCTGGGGTTCTGTGACCTGGCCTGAAACCTGCGGTGGACAGGAGAAAGATTTGCTTGCTACACAGCGTGGCCCCCCAGCAGTCCTCACCAGCTCTGGGCCCTGTGGCCCCATTTGCATGTAAAGACTGGTGGTGCCTGCTGTGTGGTGATTTTGAGTTTTTTGGTTTTTGCTTTGTTTTGTTTTATTTGAGACAGGGTCTCCCTAAGCAATTCAGGCTGGCCTTGAACTCACTAGGTAGCCCAGGATGGCCTCCAACTTGCAGTGGTCCTCCTGCCTCAGCCTCCCGAGCCCTGGGATTAGAGCCACGCACCACCACGCCTGGCTCCTCCTTTGAAAATGAATTGATAACTTGATAGGTCCAGTCTCAGAAGATGCCAGAGCCAGGCCACCTGTCCCTGGGCAAAGGGGACCCTAAGTCTCCTCCACCCTGCGTAGCATGTTCTGGTGTATGAAAACTGTCCCCCTCCACCGGGTGAGTGACACAGGGCTGAAGCCTTCCAGTCTTAGTAACCATGGTGCCCAGCGGGGGTGCTCATCCCGTCGTGCTGTGCTGGGGTCTTCACCGAGTGGATACTGAGTGGTGGTCTCGCCACTAGACTGGAAGTCCTGTGACAGAGGATGGAGATCATGTCCCATTCACTGCCCCATCCCCCACCCAAACACTGTGCCTGATTCTTAGAGTGCGCCCGGATCCAAGATAAATAAGAGGCTACGTGGATCATTGTAAAGAACAACTAGAATTTTTTGCTGTTGTTATTTTGAGACCAGATCCTGCTATGTAGTTGAGGCTGACCTTGCACTCAGGATTCTCCTGCCTCAGCCTCCTGAGTGCTGGATTCTCCTTCCTCAGGCTCCTCCCTGTGCCACCTCACCCAGCACAACTGCAGTATAGTAAGCACAGAGCTACGTACTTTCCATGCATTGCTGTGACCTGAGAGAAATGTTATCCCTTTCCCCACGTTACAGACCAGGAAGCTGAGGCCCAAAACCGGGTGAGGATGGAAAGAGGTAGCTGACAGGTACTGAGTTTCTTTTCAGAGCCATGATGGTGATGACAGATGGGCAGCTCTCATATCCACAAAGCCCTGAACTGTAAACTTTCAGTGCAAATTACATGGTGTTTAAGGGAAAAAAAAAAAAGCCAGGCATGGTGTCCACACCTGTAATCCCAGCACTTGAGAGGCCGAGACAGGAGGATCGCTGTGAATTCACACCAACCTGGGCTACATAGTGAGTTCAAGGCCAGCCTGGACTACGCAGTGAGACCCTGTCTCAGAACAAAACAAAAGAAAGAAAATACAAAGACCTGTGAGGTCACACCTCCAATCTACAGTTTAATTGTTCCTTTTCTTTCTTTCTTTCTTTTTTTGAGACAGGATCTTACTATGTAGTTCATGTAGTCCAGACTGGCCTTGAACTCTTGGCAACCCTCCTGCCTCAGCCTCCTGAGTGCTGGAATCACAGGTGTGCACCACCACGCCCAGCTCTGATCCTCAGTTTCCTAGCCAGTAAAATGGGAAAAATGTCATGGGGCTTTGGTGAGGATTAAATGAGATAATACATGTCAGGTTCCCATATTATCAAGAAAGAAACATGCCCCAGAGAAGAGAGGTAACGTGGTGCAGGTGGCACAGCTCATGGGTGACAGGGGAGAGGCTTGGGCCTGGGTCTCCCGCTGCCTTAGCTCTTAGCATCGTCTAGACGCGATCATGGCTGCCCACTTTCAGGGCCGCTGTGTCCCATCTCCTACCTTCTCATCCACTCTGGGCCCTGTGTCCCCATTACCCGTGCCTGGGGCAGACGGGGACCAAAGCCCCCTAGAGCACAGGATGCCCTGTCCCCAGCCCCCACCCTGCTCCCCTCCTGGGGCCATGATGCTGTCTTGCTTTTGCTTGTAATAAAGAAAATATCTCAGCTACCCTTCCACGGTTGCTTGGCAACCCAAGGGGGGGCTGGGTGGGGGGAGCAGAGGGGAGGAGGGCAGGGGAGGACTCTGGAGCCAATCTAGAGACAAAGAGTAGGATTTGGGTGACATGGAGCCTGTTCTTACTGCTAACCTGGCCTGGCCGGGGCGGCGGGTGGGGGCGGGGGCTTCCTCCCACCCCAGTGTCTCACACCAATAAATATGGATTAGGGAAATGGGCAGAGTTTTTCCCACGGGCCTGAAAGGCCACATCTGACCTTTCTACCCCCTTTATGTACCAACATGACAGTCAGAGAGAGCAAAGAGCAGGACCCCCTGAGACGCATCCCCCATGGCCTTCTGACTTGGGGAAACTTTCCACCCTCCTCCGTCCCCCGGCCCCAGACCAGGTCACAGCCACCAGCACCCAGGCCCGGGCTGAGGAAAGGGCTGGCTCTCAGGTGGGCATGAGGAGCTCCACGTCAGGGCGCAGCTTGGGCCGTGCCAGCTGTCCCAGGCACAGAACCAGGCGGCGAGGCCCTGGCCCAGGCTGGAGAGGCCTCCCCGCGCCAGGGCCGTCCTCTGCCCTCTGTTGCTCACACTCCCAAGGCCGGGAGCCTCTGCCACTAGGGGTTCTGTACTCCCACCAGTTCCTGCCCATCCCTCTTCTGTCTCATTTCAACATTTTTACATTTTTCGGCTTTTTGAGTCTCTCTACGTAGTTCAGGCTGGCCTTGAATGCTCTGTAGCTCAGGCTGGCCTCAAACGCGTGATGATCCTCCTGCCTCAGCCTCCTGATTGCTGGGATTACACACGTGTGCTACGACTCCTGGCTTCCCAGCCTCGATTTCCCTCTTCTCCTCTGCCCCCCTTCCCCGGTCCCCACCCAACTGGAAGCCCTTGTGTCCCCTGTTCCCTGGTGAGGAGGGCAGGGCAGGTTAGGAAGGAGGGAGAGTGGGGCAGCGCCCTGTTCCTGGTGCCCCGCTGGCCACTGGCCAGGTGGGGATGGGCCACTCTGAAAGGGCTCAGTGTGCAGACAGGAAAAGCCAACACCTCTGTGGGCCCCGCCGCCCAGCCCAAGGCTGTGCACGGAGAGGGGGCGGGGCTGGGTCCTCCCAGCCTCCTCCGTCCACGCTCTCCCTGCGCCCGAGCTCCTGAGGGTCCCGGCTTGCTGGGCCCTTGGCCCGGGGGTCCAGAGGAGAGTGGGGCTAGAGCTTGAGGAGCACCCAAGAGGAGACTCCTTCCGTCCAGTCTGTCCCTGCCCCTCTGCCCACGCCAGCCGGAGCCTTCCTGCCTGGGGGTGCCAGGAAAATGTGGGCCTAGGCCGGGCGGTGTGGCACCTGGGGCTGCCTGGCCAGCCCTCGTCAGGGGCAGCAGCCGGCCAGACATCACAGAGCGCCACTGCGCTCCACACTGCCATCCCCTGCTGGGCCGCGGGGGCCCAAGGTCTGCTGCCCTGGTGAGTGCTCCTCTGGCCCCAGGGCCAGGCCCTGAGGGAAGGGAAGGCTGCCCTTGTCGGGCTCCCTGGGACCCCCACAAGCCCGTCAGCCCCCAGATTTGTGGTATTTTCTGTCTGGGTGGCTGTGGCTGCTGCCTGCTCCTGGTGGTTTGGTGGGGGGAGCTGAGGGACAGCTGGGGAAGCTGGAGGTGACGCTGGAAAGCCTGGGGTGGAGGACCTCTGGGTTCCAAGGCAGCTGGTTTTTTTTTTTTTTTTTTTTTTTTCTCCGGTACCAGGAACCAAACTCATGACCTTGCACTTGCCAGGCAGGCTCTTTGCCGCT